GGAAAAAAAGAATTACGAGTGTCGAAAAAAAAGAAAAATGATACGCGTGTGGCGCTCGGCCTCTTCTGAACGAAAGGGAGAGCATTTTTCTGCACTGGAGAGAGAGAGAGAGAGAGAGAAAGTGCGACGAGGCGCCGCTGGAGAATGCGCTTATCGATTTTCTTTCTTTGTTCTCGATTGTCGCAGCATCGAAAGGGCTTTTGAGAGATGAACCGATCTTGTGACGATCGTTTGCCACTTTTCTATTTTCCCCGAATTTTTTCCTATTTTTTTCGCGCATCAGCTGCAGGCCTAACATTGACTTCTTAAGCAAACCTAACAATATTCTAGAAAAGCTTGCTTATACGACACAAAAGAAATGACTTTCAAGAAAAAAAAATACGAGTTCGACATTCCTCAAAGCTCATTGAATTGTAATCCTTTCAATGCCGTTGCGGTTCTTTTTTGCAAATGTTATCATTAATTTATTAAATTAATTAAATATTATGAAAGCTTCCGTACTTTTATTATAGACATTTTTTTTAATGAAGCTGAATCAATCTTATATTTAAAACGGTATATTGATTGCTTTTTTCAAGTAATTCAAAAGTCAAAAGTATTTAAATGAAGTTGATGAAATGAAATTTTTTAGTCACATGGATATTTTTTAATCACATTTATTATTATTACATGCAAGATTAAAGATAATAATGTTATGTCTGTAATAAAAAATTTTTTATTAGAATTGAACAATAAATAATCTAAATTAAAATTCTAATGTTGAGAGCCAACCTTCCGTAGAATCAAATAACATTAAATCAACAACACCATATATCCTTTTTGTAATGTAAACATCTCACTGGATATGTTCCCAGTCTCATCAGTATTTTCTTACCAGTCAAATATTATCACAAAAACATTATCACAGAAACATTATAATTTTTTCGGTACGAAAATTATCAGTCAAATATAAAGACTCTCTAGCGAAACGTTTACAAGAAAATATATTATGGAGTTGTTTATTTGATTTTATTTGATTCTACGGAGGGTTGGCTCTCGATATTAGAATTTAAATTTAGATCATAAATTGTGAAAGTGATAAAAAATATATTAAGATGAACATTTAGAGGTTAATACTGTATAGTAGCTGATATTCGGTACCTATTGAAGTGAAAGAATGCGCAAAAAAAAACTACAGAAACTAAATTTTAAACTAAATCCGATTACATAGATCATTCGAAGACTGCTTATAAATCTTTCTGCATAGGCTCACATAAATTACCAGTCTTGCTTGGGTAAAATATAAGATTGAGGCGTTGCAGAGAAACTAGCAACGGATGCGTCAAGCACCTATCCAAAAGTATGAATATTTATAGCTCGACAATTGCTCATCTTGAAATCCCTGTAGCAAGGGCAACGGCAAGTAAACAATCACATAATCCGCGCGACGGACAATCAAAAATCGACAGCTGCGGAAAAAAAAAAACCCCCAACCGGCCGCATTGGCTTGGCGTGCATTATAAAACACGAGGCGCGAACAATTCGCCGCCGGGCAATTCGCGCGCTCTCGTCGCTCGCTTTTCCTTTCGTCGGCGCCGTTTTCACCGCGAGGCGCCAAGCGGAGATCAAAAGCCTCGCGCAGGGGCCGATCGGTATGCACGCACGGTAGCCGCTGCGCGCGCGCGCGCGCGCCAAGGAAAGTGAAACCGCCAACGCGAGCGCGCGACTCGCCATTGACATCCGTCGAGCAGCAAATTGCCGGAGCTCGCGGGCCGCGTAGCTTCCTGCTTCCAGATTATACAATGATTGAGTATGCGTAGGTGGCGCGGACGGCCGAGCGCGCGGAGCTACGAATTTTCGCAGCTAAAGGCGCGTCTCGAGCGGCTCAGTTTGCGTCAGAAGTATCCTCGACTGGCATTGTTTCCACGCTCATCTTGTCAAATGCAGCTCGATTCGTCGTGTCGAGTTTCCGCAGCGCTTGTTCTTCGTGCCCACTGGAAAATTTTGCAAAATTATTTGCGTTGGCCTTGGCTACCTTCGAAATTCCTCGCTAACTAAAGTTCACTGCAAGCGTTCGGCGTAACAACACAAACTTATTCTGTCGTTCGCATTCCTTCCAGTTTTAAAACAGAATCTTGACAAAAATAACGTGAAAATCTCTTGAGTAGCGCAAATTTTATCCGCGTGCTTGACGAAAATGGCAGTGTTGCTTTGGTCGCCGCACCGTTTCACAGTGCCGAGTACTGTACGAAAATGCCTATCGTCGAAGCGACGGGAACATTGTTTCAACGGTCCGAACTATATATATATATATATATATATATACATCCGACGCCGAGAGATCATTCGCTACGGAAAGACTTTTACTCTTGGTGAGATCCTTGCCAAGGCCGCGCAAGCGAGGAAGAAACGCCAAGCATTATTACTCTCTTGTGCAATTCTGCTTGTAACACGAAAGGTGAGAGCGTTAATAGGTGGATGACGCTCGCTCGAAATGCGTTGCGGTTATGCGTTAGCGCGACAGATGGAGATGAGCAAGAGCTCGCAAGCAATTGCATCGGGCGACTTGTGTCGTCAATTACAGATTCGGACGACGTTTTCTTGGCTAATTTATCTCTAACGAATTATTGCTAGTCATTACGCGTCAATGTTTGAACGTACCGATCTCATTATTATATGATCGACATCAAACTGATCATATTTATATATTTCATTACTTCGTGCAAATTGCAATATTTTTACAGTTTCTTATCAGAAAAATATCGCCTATCGTTGATATTAACGAAGCTAGAAGATGAGATGGCAAAGAAATGCAGGAAAATTACGAGCGACGATGCTACTGTTACGTCGGTTCAAACCATAATATCAACATACGCAGTAACAAAATTAAAAAATAATCTAACCTTAAGTGAAAGAAGAAAGACACGCTAGCAAGCAGCTTTACTTTATGGACTTGCCGAGAAAGATTCATCCGAGTCTTGATCGCTTCGTTCATTTAGTTTTCGTGAATAATCAGCGTGACTCGGCAACGTTTTCCTTTACAACGTGAAGTATACGGATGAAAAACATATAGCTTTTAAATTTTTTCTTAGTTCTGGAGATTAATACTATCCATGAGCACACGGAGTGTAAGAATAATCGCATCTGTCTGGCTAATGCGAATATTTTGTATAAAAATGTGCACAAAACCAAATAAATCAAACTTTCTCTTGCGAATTCCCATTTGGCTTGTGAAAACTTTTATGAGGGTTAGTTGACAACTATTATCACTAGCAAGTCGTACTGACATAATGATCGAAGCACGCTGGATTAAAAATAAAAATTTCATACAACTTTAATAAAATAAAAGTGTTATAGGCCAAAAATAAATATTTCGAAAAAAAGCAAAAACTTTCTCTTTCTCTCTGGCAAATGTACTCAGCCACCCCTTCGCGAGCATAGTGAAAGGTCGTGAACGTGACAATCCACACGTATCTTCTTCAGTTCACTAGCAGCGATTCTCGGCCGTGCCCTCTGTCGAAAGTATATAGTCGTCCGCCCTTATATTTGACACACCTATAGCGCAGCTAACTTGACCTGCATTGTCCCCCCGTCCCTGTGGATAAGTATGCCTGAAGGTCATCCGTTGCCGGATATTATACAATAGCGGAGTGTAAGGCCCCGCTTCCACCACCACTGTAACGTGCGACGAGAAGCCTACCTGCTCCGCGGAACTCTCTCAAATTCAGTCCCAGACGTTCGCCGGCTACATTCGCTTAGTGGCGACGCGCGTAAGCGTACACACCACGCAGTCCCACCTTCGCCTCGTTCTTCTTCTTCTTCTTCTTCTCCTTGTGTTGATCAACTGTCATACTCGCGAGCACGTGGTTTTTTGTGACAGACGCAGTGCGTGCAGTTGTCTCTTCGCATTTGACAGTGAAACAGTGCGATTTTGGATTTTCGAAAGGGAACTTAGGTACGTGATCCGAGAGTAAACGAGGAAGTGAATTTTTTACCATTTTCTCTCACTCGCTCTCTCTCTCTCTCTCTCTCTCTCTTCTTTACCATTACTTTCTACGTTTCATCGAAAGAATGCATAGCCACGCTAACTAGATCATACACATTAAATCGAGGACTGCAGTACTAATAAATTACCATCTAGTTAGTTGGGAAACGTCTTTTTTTTCGATATCAAACGGGACTTTGATCAAATCAAAATTTCCACGCGGTCATTCGATTTCGATTGACGCGCGGTCGATGGCCGAGCGCGGAAAATTCAAATGGATAATTAGGATTTCTTTCGTACCGTTACAAATTGTGAATTATGCGGGAATGCTGACGCGCCGTTTTCCCTCGCGGGCTTTCGGCTCGCGCGCCGTGAACTTTCAAGGATCGACCGCGTCGACCAAAACAAAACGTTTTCTCTTTCGCACTCGCGTCGGCGCGGGTAAAGGGAAAGAGAGAAGAAGAAGAAAATTATACAACTGTGGCGAGTTTCTCGAAAACATCGCGGTCGTCTCTATAATTCACCCGCAACGCGCGTCCCAAGAAAGTATGTCAACGGTCCACGTGTGCGAGGCTCGAGTCCCACATAATCAACGGCCGATCGGTACTAATTCCACGCGAGAATGTTAATCGAGCTCGTTTCCAAATCGGAGACACCGCGTCGGCAAGTGATATAACCGAACCTTCGGCCGGCCCCTCGGTCAGCTTGGCGCTTTTATTTCGAATCGCACCTTTTGCGCCTAATCCATCGCGAAGCCCTCGACCTTTGGCTTGAGAGGTGAAGGCCGCGCAGAAAATGGGTCCGTCGACTTTGTGGAACGTGAATTTGCCGATCGGACGCTCGGCCACCGAATCGATCGCAGTGCTCCAACGACGGCGCAAAATCCGACGTCGGAGTAGGGCGCAATGGATAATAACGTGGAGATAGAGTTTAGAAAAGAGAAAGAACGTAGACTTAGATCTAAGCATAAAGTAAGTCAGTGGAGCGGAAAAAGGTGGCTATAACGGAAAATGTGATTTTTGTGGGTATCTGGCAGGATGAGGAGGAGAGGCGTGTGGAAACAAGGAAAGTCCGAGCGCGAAGGAGCTCTGCTGCTGCTCCTATTGGCATTGGCTCCTGTTATCTGCTCGGCTGGAATTCTAGACCCGTGGCAATGGGCGCGCAGCGACAGAATAGAAGTCAATATACCTTGGCTGCCCTGTGAGTATAAATGAGTATAGAGCCTGCGACCTTTTTCTTTCCTGGCGTCGAACGATCGCCCATTGCTCTGTCAAAAAACAATCAAAGAAAGCCCGTCGCGCGAAAATATCTGGCGCGTATCGAAGCCTATTGCCAAACTGCCGGCGGTGAACGGTGAAAACGCGTCAGACCGACAAAACAAAGTCATAAAGATCCACTAAAATGCATAAAAATCGGAGCAGCCGCAGATGTGGGTCAATCGCGCTCTACAGGTACATTACGTCTAGCGAGCGTAACGGTACGTCGACGTAACTGTGCATACCCTTGCGCCAGCACTACGCGCTGCCAAACCGATTGCGCTCGAGTCACTGATCCTCTGTGCACGTTCACACTTTGCAGTCGAGAACGAGACGCGCTGTTACGACGATTTGGGCTGCCTCAACATCACCAGGAGCTGGTATCACCTGATTCATCGACCGCTCAATGTATTCCCACTGCCGCGGGAGGTCATCAACACGCGATTTATACTCTATACCAATGATAATCCCACCGAAGTAAGTTGTTCTTCGTGTCCGCTGCGCGCGCCAGCACTTTGTAGAAAAAACGAGAGAGAAAGAGAGACAGAGAGAAAAACTTTTATTGATCACGAACGATATACGAGAATTTTAACAAGCATTTTAACGTTCGAATCGGTTTATTGCAGCTGTTCGTCAAGGTTTCTATCTTATAGCATTAATTCGCCGAGAGAAATTAAAATGCGCTGATAAGGAAACCGTTAATTCAGGGGAAAAAATACTTTGAAAATAGAAATATTCGTCCGAATCACGCATGCAAGCAAGATTTATTAGACGTTTTAAACATGAAAGTTCGTCAAAAAAGTATAGTCGTTCCCACTGTGAAACTTGTCCGGCTCGTTATTCTCAGCCAGATGATTTTGTAGTTCTTTTTTCTTTCCCTTAAAAACAAAATATCACGCAATTTTCGCAGTTTGCTTTCCATCGTGCGCACTGATGAGCATCTTGGCTCGACTTTCAGTATCTCTTTAATTAACAGTACGCGCGCGCGACTTTACTTGATCGCGATCGCATCTAAATTATTGCCGCAACGCTCGCGGTTTAGTTAGCAATTATTAGCAATTTGGAAGAGAAAAATAGTATCGGTTATTGCTTATTTTTCCTTTACGACCTTTCTAATTGCTTCGTGTCTTTTGTGAACTTTGGCGACGTGTAAAATTATATATCTTTAGCGGTAGAATGCTCGACGTGAAATGACAACCATTTGATTACGCGTAAGATCGTGAGTCCCTAAGCAAGTTTTGCATACACGCGCGAAGGGATACTTTTCATTTCCAAATATCTGTGAAATGCACGATGTTGAAAAAAAATAATTAAAAGAAAAATGAAAAAACGAATGGCATTTATTACGAAAGAAAGCTTGATTAATACTCTCGGTGAGTAAATTAATATATATTTGCTAATAATTCTAGGTGCAAGTGTGAGTTTGCTAGCACAAAAGTGCGTGCAGGCAGATAGCCACCACGTATGTGTATCGCATGAATTTATCACAACTTCTATATGCGTTGGAAAAGGGTTTCGGACGCAAAACAAATAATAAGTTATGGTTGAAACTAATACGAGTTGTTGACAATACTTTTTTTTGTTGTTTTCTTATTCACTGCTACGCAAATAATCAGTTATTGCTGATCTCTGAGTCTGTAAAAAAGTACATAAATGAGACAATGTGTACCTTGTAATTGTCAAATTGTCGAAGTTAACAAGTACAATAAGAATAACACGTGCGACGGAGCGAGAGCCGCGACTTTTTCATCGAACGCTTCTGTTTTTCTTTACAGGGCCAAGTTTTAATCGTAGGAAAGGACAAATCCATCAAGCGTTCAAACTTCAGTCCAAAGCGGAAAACTAAATTTATAATCCACGGCTTCATAGACACTCCGCTTAGCAATTGGGTGAAGGTAAGGTATTCCACGCTGTAACAACTTTACAATATCGTTGATTTATGTATTCTTATCCTTATTGCGATAGAATCTTGACGCATGAATGATGCGCGTTTGTCAGTATAACAATGAGAGTTCTAAGGTAGAATTATAAATTTCATATCCTGCCTGTTATGAGTTTGACGTTGATGTAATCTATTTGAAAAATGAGGCCGCGAATAATTACAAATCGTTCAATTTCTCAATATGTTGAAGTCACAGAGAACATAACTTGAAAATATGTACAAACAGTCGTAACGCAGCTTCTTTACGAGTTGAAGCGCAGATAAACGACTGCCGAACGTGCCCAAGCACGCGGAGCCCACGTACGCGCGCGCATGTAGTTCCTGCAATTGCCACACGTCTTGCCGCGACGAGCGCGTGCTCGGAATGTCCGTCGGAAAAGCGCGACGACGTCGGATGACTTGTGGATCGTTCGTCGAACGCAGCTCGCCGACCGTAGCTCTTCGTCTGCGGTTTGGCCCAACTGGCAAACGCAACACCGGCAGTTGCGCCATTTGCGCGAGCCGCGTCGCAGCAGAAGCAGCTCAACCCCGAAGACCGCTAGCCGATTTCGCGTCCTTCCGACGAACGCCGCAACGAACAGCTCGCCGTAAGCGAGGCGATCGGCCGAAACGATCGAAGGCCTAGCAGCAGTAACGAGCGATTATTTTGGAAAAGTTTGTCGCGACGAAGCGATCGGTTGGCAAAATAGACGTTTGAGATTTTTCGAAATGCTTGTCTCGATTAGGAAATGAGAAACGAACTGCTGATCCACGGCGACTACAACGTGATAATCGTAGACTGGGCTGGAGGCAGTTTGCCCCTTTACACGCAAGCGACCGCCAACACAAGGCTGGTCGGCCTGGAAATCGCTCATCTCATCAAGCACCTGCAGGTGACGAAGGAGCCGAACGGCACGAGGAGGACGGTATCGACGAGAATCACTCGACGGTGTGTTCAATTTGTAGAACAATTACGGACTGGACCCAAGCGAGGTGCACTTAATCGGCCACAGCTTGGGCGCGCACACAGCCGGGTACGCCGGCGAGAAGCTGAACGGTAACATCGGTCGTATCACTGGCCTCGACCCAGCCGAACCCTACTTCCAAGGCATGCCAGCGCACCTTCGACTCGACTACACCGACGCTCAGCTCGTCGACGTGATCCACACCGACGGCAAGAGCATTTTCTTTCTAGGTAGGTCGATCGCGAGACGCGGCGTCCCGAGCCCATTGAATCGCGTCGACTAACGCAAGGCAAAACGACGATCGCGCCCCAGGTCTCCCGGGCTACGGCATGAGTCAGCCGTGCGGCCACTTGGACTTCTACCCCAACAACGGCAAAGAGCAGCCAGGCTGCACGGACCTCAGCGAAACCACGCCCTCGCTGCCGCTCACCCTGATACGCGAGGGCCTCGAGGAAGCCTCGCGCGTCCTCGTCGCCTGCAACCACGTGCGCGCCATCAAGCTCTTCATCGAGAGCATCAACAGCAAGTGCCAGTACGTGGCGCACGAGTGCGGCAGCTACGCGAGCTTCCTGCGCGGCGAGTGCTTCTCGTGCAAGAGCAACAACAGCCTCAGCTGCGGCGTCATGGGCTACCACGCGGACAGCAGCCCGGCCCTGGTCAGGAGGCAGCAGATGGGCATGGACGTCTCGGATTTGCTGGGCTCCAAGTTTTTCTTCTCCACCGGCAAGGACGACCCCTACTGCAGTGAGTTTCGGCCGTTCGGGGGACGAGCGACGAGGTCCTACGAGGCTCCGATCTGATTTCAGGACGACACTACAGGATAACGATCAACTTGGCAAGGCCGCCCACGGCCGAGAGCTGGGTGCAGGGCTACATGAAGGTCACGCTTCACGCTGAGAACGGCGTCATACGCAACATGGACTTGACCCCGAGGTACGTGCTCGCGCTTGCGCCGATCCTAAGTCGCGAGACTCGAGACTACACGCGCCTTCCTGCCGACGCTTTTCAGCGGCTACATGAAGCTCGAGCACGGCACGACCACGCGCATGGTGGTGGCACATCCCGGGGGTGCGACCGGCGAGATCGGCAAGATACGCCGAGTCGAGCTCTCCTGGGCCTACGACATGGACGTGCTGCAGCCGCGGTCGCTGTGCTTCTTCTGGTGCAACGACCGGCTCTACGTCAACAGTGTCGTTGTCGACATGATGGAGCTGCCAGGTAGAGGGTATGTATCACGCGCGAGGTCCGATAAAAACGATCGATCGTTTTCTTATCCGAAGCGCCACGTCCAATTGGTTGATTGGCAGGAAACGCGAGACGGATTTTTCGAGCAAGCTGTGCTCGGCAAGTAGGCAGGAGTACGCGGAAATTGCGAGCGGATCGACGGCCTCGTTCGTCGACAATTGCTGATGCTCAATCTCAACCCTAAGAAATGGACTGTCACGGTTATTCCTTCCTATAAGTACTCGACGAGCCGTTACCGCAACGGAGGACATCACACGATCGCTGCTGCCGGCAGATTTATTCCTCTTCTGCGCTTGTATCCACGTGGCCGATCCTCACGGATGCTTTTGTGTGTGTGTGTGTGTGTGTGTGTGTTTTTTTTTATTATTATCTGCCTACATGTGTAATCTTGTAAATCTTGTAAATAACGTCAGAGAGTTATCTATATACCTATGTAAATTTTATCCGCGCGCGCCTCCGAGTTTTAGGACTTTGACGGATGTGTTATACATACAGTTTTGTAAAATATTTATGCATACAATTTTGTAATATCTGTGCGAGCAAGTTCCAATCTTGCTTGGCAATGCCTTCTGTCGATCAATGTTGACGAAAGAATTGCCAAGTGTAGATCAAGAGCTGAGTGTATGGCTATTACAAAGAGTATGGTTTCGACAGACAAATCGAATCGATTTGTAAAACAAAAATCAAACAGTTACGTATAAGTTTGATACCCTTCTAAGCTTGTATACATACGTAATCGATTCTCAATATAAAAGACAACATCTATATCATCATTATTATGTTATTAGATTTTAGTCAAAAACAGAGCTGGGTACTATATAACTAAATAGATTTAAGCGTTTCCATCGACAATAGTCGTCTGAACGAACATTCATTTGAACAAGTTACAAATGAATAGTATTTATCTACTGTCCGGAGTATAAACTTTTATAGCTATAAACATCGTTTCTTCAGAATCTGTATACTTATAAACGGATGCATTTAAATGATCCTATATTCTTATGATCTGAAAGAGCAAGTTTACCGAATGAAAAAATACGTAAACGAACAACTGTGTATTAATGCAAAAGTATTGTAATTAAATGAAGAAATCAGTGCATTTGAAAACATTGTCGCCAAAATAATTAGGCTAGTTTTAGTGCGCAATGGAAGATTATTGAGGATAGCTTTATAATTGCTCCCCATGTAACATAAAGAATCAAACTAACTTAGTAAACCTGTAAGTGCTATTTCATACATTCCAACAAATTTAAATCATATAACTCGTAAATCATCCATGATAATACTTTTTGTACTGTAGCTCTGTACCAACACATAGTTCAATAACATATTAACGAGTCTTTCATATTGTGGAGACGTTAGAATTTTTGTGATATATTATAATAATTTAAAACTGCAACCTTAGATACTTCCTTTCGCTTTTTCCATATGTTTTACAGGAAATACTAAAGAAAAATGTAATTTTAAGTGTTTTTTTTATTATTTACAAAAGTTGACTATGTCACAGAAGAACAATCTGTATTTCTTCAGCCAGTGACTTGAAAACATGTTATTTTTTACAAACATTAATAAAATGAAAAACAAGTATCCGTGATTATTTCAAACCAGAATTTCAAAACTAATCCTATCTTATTATTTTGAAGTAGAATTTGAAAACCTAAAAAAGGGGCGGATACAAAAATAACTAATGAATGCATAGTATTTTACAAAATAATTATTGCATTTTTATTCAAAGGTCTTCTAGTTACTACTTAACAATAAGATATTGCAATTGAACAGTAGAATTTTGGAACAATACTTCAACATTTTAAACATTCTGGTTTCACTTTCTAATAGAATAAATTTTTATTTGTTTTGATGATATCAAGTATTTTTATAGATCTTTCTTTTTTCAGCTATTGTGTGTCTATATTCTTATGATACAATGTATATTATAACGCAATTTTCAATATATTTATTTCAAAAATAAATAAAAATAACGTATTTGTAAGCGTAAAAAATTGATAGAAAATAAAGTATTTCTTTATTCTATAATTACTAAGTTAAGTGTCATTGGAAATCTGTTTCAAAGTGATTTGAATAATATCCGTGAATAATTAATTATATCAAGTCATAAATTTTATTTGTATTTGGTTCCATACTAATTATAATTTGTCTTGTAGCACAAGAAAGAACAATTTATCAATAGTTTTCTAAAGAAGCGATAACAGCCAGGCGTAGAGTTTTATACTTTTTAAAAGTCATTCGCTAGTTTTATTTTAATAGGATCTACTTTGTAAATCTCATAAATGACGCGACTAATTCGTACAACTAGAAGACCAAGATTTAGCTGTAAAAATGAATTGTACCGAAGTTTGCGGATCAATTTTCAATACTTGGGCAATGATTCAACTCTTTGTAAACACATAACACAGATAGACTTGTCTTATAAATTTATTTCAACCGAATAAGAGGAGAAAAATGTCAATTTTAAATAATTTACGGTTTGTAAAGCAAACATACGGTTTTAAATAACTTACGGTTATATTTACTCATGATTACTTGAAAATTTTGTCCGCACAATCCTGCACAGCTCATATGAAAGATCTTTTTATACAAAAGGTAGCATCGTAAGCAATATTTTTCGAGTGTACTTTCTAAATCATACATAATACAGTTTTCGTGTTAATATTTTGTACGATAGCTCTGTACGTTCTATGTAATTAGAATTTAACAAATCTTTCTTAGGAGTTAACCTTAGCTTTTTTCTTATGATACACTATCCTAGTTAATAATTTTAAGATCGCCAAGTAAAATGTTTTATATATCCACACTAGGTACGTGGAACGCTATATACAAACACACGATATTTTTTTTATTAGTTTCTCTTGCGAAAGAAAAGTAGAAAAGAAGATTGTTAGTTATACAACATTTTATATCTAGGAAAAAAAAATTAACAAAGTAAATAAAGAAAAGATCTTTGGAAAATGACAAGGAGATATACTTTTTATACAACAAATTATTATTATAATACGAAAAATGAACAAACACATCGAGTATGGCTTTCTTATTTTTCATAGTATTCTTTTATACTCTTTATGACGTACATACCGCATCGCCTCTTAAATACAAAAAGTTGTCGCCGAAGCTATACACGATAATGCGTTTTCACATTTTATCCACGTTTTCATTTTATTTTACATGAGATTCAACAATCGATTCGTGTAAAAAAAAGCCATATCCGCACTTAACTCGCGCGGTAACAAGAGGTCGTTAAAATATATATTCATGTTATATATACTTTTTTATGTTTCATAGCGATGTACGTAATAAAAATCTAATAATCTCTAGAATACAACATAGAATTTTTATTATACACAAATAATAAATAGAGGGGTATAAAACGTAAATCCGAGAATAATCGCCATAAGACCTTTCTTCCATCTTAACGTGTTCATTGCAGTACTTCATTCATTATCTATATATTTTTAAGTAGTTATGTGTATGTATGCGCGTATCAGCGTTTGTATTTGTCACGTAAGCGATGCACACTTAAAATAATATTTCTGATGAAAAGAAAAATTTTGTATAAGTACAGAGCTAAAATCACTGTAATATTGAAAATGTTCGGCTTATCCATCGACTTTTTTCAAAAAATATATACATTTATTATCTATCATGTGTAAACTGGATATGCGATAAATGCGAAAAATAAAAGTCGAAGCATTCGCTACATTAAAAATACTCTATTCATCAGTGTAGTTGAGCGATCGAGGAACATGCGTGGCTCTATTGTTTTTCAGTACAACTGAAAATTCTAGGTACATCGCACATCGAGTAAAATTGTCTTCACGCCTTAAATATTTTTCATAAATTGTCTTTAAATCACTTCTGCAATATACCAATATACGTTACCGTTTGCACATCGCCGTTGCTTTCTAATTTGGAAAGTTAGTTAAACTGCTCTTCTATGCAGCTTACTCCTCTTGCCCTAGTTACAATAAAACTTGAACTGTTTCATCGGAGTAAATGATGATGAAATTAATCGATTCGTTTTCAACATCACAAATCAGCGACAATCAAGCCACAATAACGATCATATAATCATACGTGAAAATAATGAATGTACAATGGATTCATTTGGCATAGTCGTCTAGTCTAGACTCTAGACTCTAGAATTTTATTCTAGAGTGGACCCAAAGGTCAGTGTAGGTCTTCAACCCAAGCGGTTTCAAGGGTCTCGATCATCGTGCGGACGAAGGCCATTTCTTTACGGGCGTTTTCTAAAATCACACGGGGATCTTGAGAGGTACATCTCAAGATGTTTGGCGCCATTACCATGGCCAAATTACTAGCGTCCATTTTTGTTCGAGTTACTACATCAGGCCTAGCAAATATCTAAAACAAAATTATAACACAATCAGTTTGTGCTGATTTAATATTAGTCTTCTAAAAAAATTTGTCAAATGTTATTAACCTGCAAGAAATGAATAAGATGGCACAGTACTCTTCTATTAAGCTCGGGCAACCGTTCAACAAGTGCAGCAACATTGGCAGCTGAGATCTCGGGATCATCGTGCCTCATGTTCACGCACTCGGCATAGAACGAGTCTGGTATTAGTGGTTCGTATAATTCTCGCACCCATAATTTTAACAGCGAAGCTGGCGCATGAGCATCCTGAGAGGCAGCGAGTATCGCGCCATCCTCGAACTTGTCCAAACGGCACTTAAGCACATTTACTTCATCGGCATCGGCTGAGACGCGGAATATACCTTCGGTCATAGTACCGCCGCGAATCAACACTTGACGAGTTAAGGTCGTTTGAATCCAGGGAAGTTCACGTTGTGGGAACCGATCGCGTTGTAGTGCCATTACCTCGGAGAGAGTTGCTCCGAACATTGACGCACGGAAAATTTGAAGCTGCAAATAGACATTTATATGTTTAAAGTTTACGTTTATGTGTAATCATAAATTAAAACTCACTCTAGCTTGATCGATATCCTCGGTAGTAGCTTTCCTTGGCTGCCTTTTACCATGAGCACCAATCCTTTGAAGTCTTTTACACGCTACCGTAGCATAATGACTGACTTGCACATGAATTGGCCATTTGGCAACTTCTGGAAACTGGAAGTTTGGATCTCTGTGCCTATTCATGTAACCCTCTAGATAAGGTTCAAAGGTTGCACTAGGAGGTACAAACGCCAAACAAACAGCCATGAGTTCCCAGCCACGTCTTAAGCTTTCTTTGCGTGGATTTTCTGTCGTTTGCCGGCAAATCTGCACGTACAGTTCGTCTCGTAGAGCTGGTTTAGAGTATATCGTGTTCACAATTTCCATCGCTACGCTGTCCAATGTCATGCCAACATTTGCTTTGCGATCTCCCATGTAAACCTAAAATATAAAACATTTATATAAAACTTAATAGAAAAAAATATACAGACTTAAAGTTATAACGGTTAATTAAGACTTAATTTTTATCGATATTAATAAAAAAAAAGTTAATAGTTAACATTGTGATGGGATCTTTATACATTCGTGTTTGTAGGTTTACTAATCGTAACGTTAGCAGTTTAATGAATAGTGATAATGATCTATACGTTATCTTCGAAGTGTTAATCATTCAAAATTAGAAACATTTGCATCTAATAAGTTCGAACAAATGATTATTAATTATTGTTAACTTCAAATTCTTAATTATCTTTAGATAAACGTATAATAATCTTTAGAAAAACGTTTAATATTTTTTATGAATAGAATGATGAAAGCTCAAAGATAACAACTTACTTGGACGAGCCTAAAAAGATTGCAGGCTTCGCGCTTGAGTAATTTTTCACCATCGACAACCACGAGCATAGGCTGAGGAATAGGATCCTTGCTCCAACTGAGTATTTCTCGGACACTAAACTTCTTACGAAACAGCTGCCTAAGTCCTTTGGGTTTGCCGCAGTTTAGATTGAGATTGTCTTGGGCGTATTTCTCAATATCACCACTGCCGTCGTCTTTGCGCGCCTCGTCGTACTCGGCCGTATCAACACAAGTTCCCAAGCCACTGAGAGCGAAACCACCAAGGCCACCGCCACTTCGTCCTGTCGCAGCTGTTGGTGTTGGCAGAGATATCGGACGCGATGCTATGATGTTCTCGCGAGCTTCCGCCTGCGATGCTATATTTGGGGGTGGTGGTGGAGTCGCTTGTGGCCTTGTCAGTGTATCAGCTGTGTTGTAGTAAGTTGCTAAACCAGCCGTGTCATAGTTACCCAAATCTATGAAATGACGAAATATTTTATTAATGCACTGAACCATTAGAATGATTGAAAAATTGAGAAAGTAATATTAGAATATTGATTGATGCACATGAACGACCTTAGAGAGTTAACTATTCGACGATAAAGTTAGAGAAATTTACTACGTGATAAATCATACGCTTAAGTCTATTAACCTGCGTAATGATCCTCAAGGTATTCTTGACTTGATGAATCTCCTTGATTACTTGCGGCTTCGTCATCTGCAAATTGATCGTCAGAATCGTCGTCGTCTCTTCTGTGATGTTCGGCATCCCTACCTCCTTCCTCATCAAGAGAGTCATCGCCCTCTTCTGCTAGAAGTGGATCGCCAAATTTGTAACAACCTGTTGGATAACATATGCACTTAATTTTTTTATTTTTACTTGGATATAAACCGTGTAATTTATGCAAGTGAAATGAAGGTGAGAGTTTCCAAAAAATTATTTCAGAGTCTACTTTTTAACAAACATTTGAGGTTATCATTTATTTTTATACTTTCGAATTTTACAAAATATTGTGATTAAAATAACGTGATTTTCGTAAAAAAAAAAATTTATTCAAATCTATTCTATACTATGAAATGCTTTGATACCATCATAAAAAATTGTAGAGAAAAAATATGTTTATTAGAAAAAAATAATTCGAAGCGATGATTAGCGTTATTTTAGATCTTTAAAAAATGATTTTTATATTTCCAAATAATTTACTCACATTGTATACTGCTATAAGGAAACCCTGGCAAGACGTTTTAAGTTAATTTTTTTTTTATACAGATATTTAAGTGTTTAATCTACGAAAAGATATTCCAAAGCTAAGCACTGCTAAAACATTCCTCTATCGCAGCTAGATAGAGTATAGTTTAATAATTAAGTGGATGTCATTGATGAGGTATAAAAAAATGTGGAGTTCATGGGGAATCTGCGAAAGCGTATAACGACTTTGTAAAGAAAAAGAAAATTGTACAGAGCTTACCAGAAAGTTTAGCTTGCTGAAGTATGTAGTGCTGAAATGGCAAAAGATGGTCGGCGTTATCAAGAAGATTGCCGTAGTAGGGCGAAGACGGAGGACTAGGATGGCCATTACTACGTTTCTTTTTGGTATCGTCAACGTGAATGGGTAGTGGCGGATCATCATCGTCGCCAGGGTCACCACTCTGACTACCACTACTGAGACTGCCCTCGTTACTACTACTACTATTGCTACTGAGCCTAGGCTGCGCTTGATCTAGGCTTTGAGGCATTAGGTAACGTTCGTGCATCGAGTCGTCATCGTGATCGCGTCGTCGCGATGACTGTTTGTTGAGCTTTTGTTGCGGCTGATGCTGTTGGTGTTGCTGCTGTTGTTGCTTTTGCTGCTGCACGAAACTGTAGCTACGCGAGAGCTGCTGCTGGGAGTCTTCAAAAGAGTATTTTTGTTTTCAAGTAGTCTATTGAAACAAAATACTGAGAAAGAGACAAGTATTTTTAGAGGAATACTTACTGTCTACAGAATTATTACACGTGGCTGCTCGCCTGAATTCCTTATCCCTGTCGGCGCGAGTCGATTCTCTTTCGGTCATGACGTCAAAACTTCTCTGTTTGGACACGTTACTTCCAGTTCCCTGACCACCCCTTACTGATAAATTCTTTGCCGGATCATTCCGCTCGGCCATCATCGCACCGTACATCTCCCTGGAAAAATTGAATGCACAAACCTGATTATTTCAGTATGCACGAGTGATATCAATTATTTTTAGTTATGCTTTATATAGCGGACAAACTACGATAAATTCAAAGCCTTATTTTTAGCACCGGAATGGCGTGTTAGTAAATTTATATCTAACCGAAAATTTACATTCAAAGCTATGTGTGAGTCAGCTCGTGAAATTTTTCAGTTTTTTTTAAATTCTGAAGCAATCTTTTCCAGCAGAGTAGAAACAGGCATTTATTATTCAACAATACAATATTCAAATAATTATTTGATGTATTTAGTCTGTATTTTTGCTCATCGTCTTGCGTTTGAACTATTTCCAGATTAAATAAAATATCGTTATTGTAAATTTTCTTACAAAGTGACACCAAAAGTTTATAGTTCAATAATTCTATGAGATTAATATACATGTGAAACCAACCTAACGTTGGCGTCGGATAGAGAAACAGAGCATCCGTGATGCCTCCTGCCGACGCTGCCGGTGTTGTCAATAGTCTGCTGCTTGCTGGCGCCTCGCCCGTGCACCGATCCAGAGTAATACGGCGGATTGGACTTGTCGAGACTGTTGACACGATCACGGTGACCATCGCGCTGATAACGGATACCGCCCGATTCAGCCAGCGAGCGATACTTGTCAGGGCCCTGAGCTTTGCAAGGATGTGGCGGTTGCGGATCTGGTGGTCGATAGGGCGATGTATCGTGATGACGTACACTTGGGTTTGGCGATTCACGGTACGGTGATGTACTGTTTACTTCCATTTGCTGAACACGACCTGTTGGTTATTAAGAATATGTGTTAGTTTGCTATGAGCGGATCAAAATGTGCACAGTGATGTTGCTATGTGTATTTTTACGTTAAATTATATCTTTTAATTTCAATCATTATTTCTTCTTCCACATGTAATATTCAAATTTTTACTTTAAATTAATACCAAGGTTACAAGAATAACTGGCAATTTGTATTGAGAATGCAAATTACAAGTCACTCAATAATTATTCAGGTGAAATTTTGATAAGATACTTTCAAGCTTTCACGCATGGGCTATGTAATTTTGGTTAAAAAAAGTGTCACAATACTTGGATCTCAGGATTTAAAAAATGTTAACCTCCTTAAATCAAATCTATAAATATTGAAGATGAAAGATTGATTGAAATTGCTACATATTATGTTAGTGGAATACATCGTGATCTTGTATTCATGATCGTAAATATGTTGTGATAACAATAATCACAAATCATACATAATAATGATATACATGACAAAAAACTAGATGGGTAATTTTTTTTATGTCATGACGCAATGATGACAATATTTGTAACATAAAAATATTATGATGGTGACCAAAAAAGTAAGCTTAATATTGCTACAATGATGTTATGTCGTATATACAATGTTGTTATTGCGGTGACATGATATAGTGCCATACTAAAGTTTTCTAATTTTTTTGTTTGTAATAACGGATACCGTACTTTCCTCGCAAAGCAGCTTCTAATATCTCACGGAATTCGGAATTCCTGATTCCTGGTAAGGTTTAAAAAAGCAGTTTATGATTTAGTCATGTGGAAAGAAAAGCATCATACAAAATAATGAGGATAATAATTCATAAATGTTAGTATTCATGTCGGAAAGCTTATAAATCAAACATTTTTCAACTTCTTTTTACGAAGCAATTAAAGTATTCAAAGTTGTAGCAAGACGGTCACTGCAAATAAATATCACGTCGTAACTTTCAGTTATTTGATTAAACTGTTATTTATGAACAGTTATTGATGAATTAGCCTTTACATTTGTTTTTAGAAAACCACTTGTATAAACAGATCTTTCATTTCTTGTTTTGATACACATTCGACATTTTCTTTTCGTTTTCTTCGTTATGTACATAAATTGCAAGAATTAATTTAAAATTTATCTTTATTAAAACATAAACGCATCCATGTCCTAACATTATATTTGAAATAAAAAAATTGTTGAATTTGGATCAACCTAATTAGAACTTACCGTTCTTACTCTTATTCTCAAAGTCAAGATTAACATCGCGCCTTGTCTCTCTCTGTGGTTCGGCAAAATTTTTCTTCTTGAATAGCGGCGTACTAGTGGACATGGATATTCCAAGAACCGGAGGTGGTTCACTGGGCGGAGGTAAACTCTTCTGATTCTTATTGGCTTCTAAAGTGCCACCTTTATTTCTGGACGAGTCAATCGTACCCCTCGGTTGGACTGGTGGCGGTTGATTCGGCGATCTATGTGGTGGTGGCGGTTGCTGCTGCTGCTGCTGCTGCTGCTGCTGCTGCTGCTGCTGCTGCTGCTGCTGCTGGCGATGAGGTGAATCAAGAAGCCGATAACTGCCGGACTCAAGGGAGGTGCGGCTATGCGAGACGGAACTGTCGCTCGAACGACCCGAATCCTGTGAGTGATTATGATGTCGTCGAGGTGGTGGTGGCTGCTGGGGTGGTTGTGGTGGTTGCTGCGGCTGGGGATGTTGCTGTGGAGAGGATGGTGGTGGTGGGTCACCTCGCCGATGATGATGCCTATTGTTGTGATGATGGTGATGGTGATGGTGACGACGGAACGATGGCGACGGCGACGGTGGAGAGGTTTGAAGATCGACCATTGCAACTGGACTGTGAGGTTTGTGGACTCCCATCTGCTAGGAAAAATGGACGGTTCATTACTATTTAATACAATTCCTGTAGTTGAATGGTGCGATTAACCGGGACTGAAAATGCGCAATGCAGCACAAATAAATAGAGCAAGCTGATTGACTGCAATACATTATTATATTTAGATGAAGGTTGGACAAAAAATATTAACGTTTGAGTGCTGATGACGTGTAGTAAAAAGCGTGATAAAACTACAAACAAAAAAAGAATTTTAAATGTCGAAGCCTTAAAAATGTCGCGTTATACGTTTAACGATGCACACACCGCCTAACGGTTCATTTACATGATACGGAATTATTGCAATGAATCAGCTTTATTTGCTTAATCAAAAGGGATACAGAATGTGCGGCGCACGAGTGCACCGTCCATTATTCTGCAGCTGTGTTAATTTTTATTCATATAATGAACAGTTCGCTCGCGCGATACGCGATGAATACAAAAGAGAGAGAGAGAGAGAGTCGTTCGAAATAACAATAAATAGGAATTTTATATAAATAAAGATTTAAATGTTTGGAATAAATATTTGCATGCATGCAATTTGAAATGGACGGAGAAAAAGAATAGCCAGTATAAATGAATTATATTTTAATAATACCTCTACTCAACATATCACATTAGCATTCCAATCTCACATTCCTTTGCAGTTCAATGATCTATTATCTATCATTGCACAGTACTCAACTACTGCGCAAAAAAGCCGATAAAATGAAAACAACGTCGCAGCAATACAATAACGATTCGATTAGACTTTTCGATAAAAACTCGACGGTACTTACAAAGTACAAAAGAAAAAAAAGAGAAGAGAAAAGAAACAAATTACCAAGGTGGGAGCAAGACTAGGATTATCGTGGTGATGGTGATTATAGCGTCCTAATCGACCAACCGTGGGAGTCTGTGTCTGCGTAGAAACAGTCTCCTTGTGTTTAGGCTCGGCGCTGCACCTCAAGCTATCCATACCGCTGCCACCGCCACTGCTCGCTGGCTCGGTGTTTTGCTTGAGCGTCTGCGAAAAGGGGAAAACAATTAATCGGCGAACAATCGATCGCGGCGTGCATATACGCTTCCTCGTGCCAGTGTAGCGTCGTCCCGAGGAGTGTACAACGGCCTCACGTGCAAGCGCCACGTATTAAAACTGGTCTACGGTCTCTACGGTCTCTTCGCTATCTCCTCTTTTCTCGTAGGCAAGTGATTTTCCAGGAGCGTCGGCTCGGTTAATACGAGCTTTCGTTAAAAAAAAATATCTCGAAGGAATCTGTTCGCGGCAAGTACGAGGAGCGCGAGCTTTCCAACGCAGCCGCGGCTCGACGGTCAGCGCGACGCGATGCACCAACGAAGCCCACCCGAGTAAAATTCAACGAAGGAGAAAATTGAGAAGCAATCGACGAGGCGCGCGCGCAGCCACGTCCACCTGCGGCGCTTAATCCGACGAGGCGGCGTCGTTTCGCCATGCCGCGCGCACGCGAGTCTCGCGTCTGGCGCACAGCGGCTCGCTGTACGGGCCGTTCGCGGGAGACAATTACGAGACGGGCCGAAGGGCCGCGTCGTCGCGCGAGAAAAGGATCGCGCAAGGTGGCGCTCCGCGCTCGCGAACCATCTGGCGCGCGGCCTGCGGCACTTTCAGCTCGCTCTTCGCCGGAGTTTTTCTCTCGTTCTCCAGCCGCTGACGCTGCCGTTGCCGCGGCTCGGCCTCGCGAGCAGCCGCCTCTTTCTCTATTTATAGCCGCGGCGGCGACAGCGGCTTAGGGACGCGCGACGACTGGATGCTCGACGTGCTCGTGCCTGTACCTCGCGCGCGAGCCATTACACGCGAGATGGCTGCGCTTCTGGGCCGCGTCGCGATGCGCCAATTCGCCGAGGCGAACGTGCGGTGGATTCCCATCGAGTCGGAGGGCTCGAGTGCGATCGCGCGCCTATCGAACTCGACGTTGGTGGACGTCGATGCGCGGCGGCACTTTTCGCGTTCGTCCGTAAAAACGAGTGTGCACGAGCACGGCTACTTTCTAAAGTACAAAGTGAATATTCCAAGCAGCGCGAGACCGCTGGAACTGCGGCGTTTCGAGAGAACTCGCGGGGATACTTTGCATTGAAAGTGCCGACGATTTGGCGGCAAAACGATCGCTACCTGCGCCTCCTGCTCCGTGGAAAAAGCCAGGCGGCAATCGAACGAAAACCATAAAAGCCCAGCGCGTCCTCTGCCCGACGCGCAAGCAGCGAGTCAATCCAAATATTTACGGCGGAGCGCGAAGGCGAAGCGTTTACCCAATAACTTGTCGTCGCGTGTACGCGTTGCTTTCTTCCTCCTCGTCTCTCCCTCGAGAGACTATAGACACCTTTGTAGTCTCGAAAAGGGAGAACTCGCGCGCTCGACCGATCGCGTGATCGAGGGGAAGAGCCAAGCTCGGCCGTCGCCGGGGCTCCGCGCGAGATATTTACGGCGCGATGCACGCGCGCCCTTTCAACTTGTTCCATCTCGGAGCCGCGGGCGCGTTAATGTAATGCTAACGCTCGTCGCCGCGCGATGAATTATCGAAGGGACGCCAATGACAACGTTCACCGATACGCGCGACTCTCGGCTAAATGCTTTCTCGACCTTCCGTCACACCTCGTCGTCACATTGACACGTGCTCGCGGGCACCGATGTAAATACAAATCCGTTTATCATGTCGGTGGGCGTGCGAGCTCGGCGTCTCGCACGAGGAATTGCAATACTGAAATTGCGCAAACGAGCGCCCGCGAAACGCCCGCCGGAGCCGGGCAAACTTGTGGCGTGCTTACCTGTAGTTTGGCCAGAGGAATGATATCGCAGTCGGTGGGACGATGCCACACCGTCTTCTGCGAGGTGGCATTGTAGTAGTAGAAACGGGATGTGCTCTGGTCGAATAGTTCCCACCACTGATTGTTATCGGTCTTCTTTCTGCAATCCGCAAGCCAGCAAAATTCGCAATGATTAATGCATCCAGCGATTTATGAACCCCCGACTTCCGTGCAAAACTTTGCGTATCCAATTAAGCTTGGACGACCGGCAAGTGGCTTAGTAGCTCGATCGTCACCCAAACTTTTCGGTAATGCCAGTCCTTCCTTGAGTGATTTCGAGAGCCGAATTATAGATATCAAAGAAAAAGTCGTTTTATTCCGCGCAAATTTGAAAGTACAACATTTCGCAGGTGCTATAGCAGCATGAAGTTTACGGTCACTGAATAAAAGTATTATCGAACGAGGTCAAACTAAATTAGATTCCCTCTTTCTTTCGTAATTGCAGCATTGTTTCCCAATGCTCTATGTTCTAATTGCGTTTCCCAGAGCAACTCTACTTCTTCTTGCTTCGAGCTCGAGGAAAAACTGTAGATACGTCATAGAAATATTTAATTACCCGCCGCGAACGTGGTATCGGACTTGTCAGTTGCTTCCATCAGCCTAAATGATTGATGCGTTCGCGTGTGCCACTTTGCTTTCGTAAAAATGTTGGGCGGTCGATTAATCCAGCACGATGATGCGTACCAGTAAGTCTGTACGCAAGCCGAACAAAAGACCCTAGGAAGTAGCGTCGATATTGCGTGCAATAAAGCGCGTACATTCGCCTCGCCACGCTTCGTATCAGGCCAACTATTTATCTGGCACGCGCGACGAGACGTTCCGCGAACGTCCAAGAAATCGGCGATCGCCAGCGGGAGAGAGTCTCTGTCTAAATGGTCTCGGCAGAATTCTCGTGCAATTGCGCCACTTTTTTTCATTCTCTCTCTCTCTCTCTCTCTCTCTCTCTCTCTCTCTCTCGTAGCGATTAAGGCAATTAACGATATGAGTGCGGAACGAAAACGTCAATTAGAAAGTGTAATAATATGATGGGTGTCGCGTTGAGAATTACTGCACACCCATCGCGAATAAGGAAATCCCCGCGCGCGGCGGCACGATCGCGATCTCGATATGGGCTGAATACGTGGCCCTGCAACGACGACAACTTTCTCCAATCTAAATAGATTGCAAATCGCTTAACGCCGGTGTATTTAGGAGTTGCGCGTGTTGACTTGTGCCGCGGCGCGTACAAATTATCCGCGCGATTAGTTTGTAGCGCGGCGTCTCACGGCTTTGTCTGTCGAGTGCCGCATAGATGATAATTCGATTACGAAAGCGCATTACGAACTTGGAAGTTTCTCCCGCGGGACGAGCTTTCGCGATTTCATCACGAAGAGTTGAGAGTTTGATGGTTTTGCTGCCCGTGCAACTTTACAAACTTAGTGCTTTAGCTGAGCTGTCGTGGAGTACGCGACATCAATTGCGTATGCGATACTTGCGAAGAGGTCCACGTTTCGTTATGTTGATCGTTATTTTTTTTTTTTTTTTTTTGTCAGTTATTGTCTGCGAGCAAAAATGCATTCTATTACACGAGTTTAATAATTTTTTTTTCGAGTTTTTTTATCGCACATAATTTATAAACATCAATTACTCCGTTGCTAATTGAATACTCAAACGAGCTAATTTGAAAAGCAGCGTTTACCAACAAAGCGGCAAGAGCGCTATTTGTTACGATGCACAACTATTTTTAGACGTTTATTCAAAGCTCTAGTACTCTTTTATAGCACAGCAATTTCTCATAAAAGCTCCGATGTTAAATAATTGTAGAGGGAAAGGGAGTTCCTATAAAAACGTGAGCATCCGTAATATTAAATCGATAAAATAGCGCGGAGCGTGTATTTCACGCTACACAATCTAATGTATTAATCGAGAGAAAGAGAGAGAGAGAGAGAGTGAAACACACCGAAGAAAAATACTTGAAAGAGCAGCGGACTCGGTCTGGAGTATGGAGGCGTAAAAGTACATAATACTCACACAGGAACACCTGGTGGCGGATCCCAGACGCACTCGCCGGTCGTCAGATTGGCGTACATGTGCTCCTTTGTCTTGGGCTCGATGATCTCCACCCACTCCATTCTGCGAAGGAAAGGCAACGAGGCGATCAGAAATCGGTCGCGTGTGCGGCGGAAGAGGCGCAAGGTAAATCGCAAGGCTCGCTCGCCCGCGATGCTTTCGTTTTTGCTCTCGTTTCTCGTTGGCTGCGGCGGCGAGGAGCGCGCCAACGGATAAAAGCAAATTAGCGCCGTGGAGAACTGCTGCCTGCAGCCGACCGCTCGCAAACACTTTCCTCCTCCGATTCTCTTTCTACGCGCTGCGCTCGTGCGCGCACACCTACGAGCATTGATCCCCGACTTCGCCGAGCGACGCACTTTCGACGCTCAATGGTCGCCGATGGGCTTTCGTCCCCGCTACGCGTTCGCGCTCTTCGTCTGGCCTCGCCTCGGCTGCACTATTCTACGGCATGAACTTGAAATATTGAATCGAGGGCTCTCTCGCTCGCTCTCTAACGCTATACGTAGAAAGAGAGAGCCTTTGACGATCCAATCGCGTAAAAATTGTGTCAAGCGATTGGAGAGTACTCGAAAGAACGATCGGTTGATGCCACTTTGTCGATTCAGTGTCGACTTTGGGTTATCGATCTTCAAGGAAAATTATCCCGTCGTGTGCGCTTTTTTTATTAGACGCACTACGTTTTATCGGCATTCAGCTTGGGCAACAGCTTCATATAATAATATATACTTCACGGTCTCCGCGGGGATCTCGTTTAGTCTACTTTGCTATGCTTAAATTGTGCAGGGGCCTGAAAGCGCGTCATGACAAATGATGTCAAAAGTGTATAAGGTCAGAAATCGCTTTATATGCGCGGTGGTATTCATTGTGCAGCGAGGCCCCGGCAATAAAACAATGATAACGAACGACTTTTAACCGAACTCCCCTCTGATGACGCGACGACAGCGTAATTGGAAATGAACGAGAGATTGCATTCGCCCCACTTGCACTTTATTCCAGCCATCTATTGCATAGCGAATGCTATTAATTTTCCAATAACACTGAGTATACATGGTCGTCAAGGAATTTTATGGCTGCCAAAGTTCTCCGTACACATTTATTTTAAATGTTACATTAAATTCTGGCACTCGAATGAAAACTAATGAATCTTTCAGTTATGAAAAAAATTAATAAACTAATAAATGATGGCATTGCTACATGATTTTACAATGATTATTGACAACAATAAAGAGCGAATAGTTAACGTGTTAAAATACAGCTAAAGGCTTGCGATGGATGAGTTGAAATCGGAAGTTAGTTTTCATTGCGACTAAACTTGATTGTTAAAATGCGCGAAAACCCCTACAGTTAACCAATTCAAAATTGTCCATTAGTTCATCGATAGGGCAAAAGACCATGTGAAAGAAGGAACAAACCAAAGTGAAATTTTGTCATCAATCTATAACATAAAGTGGACTCAAGCGATGAGCTGTAGAAAGTTAAGATCATAACGTTGCACGGATATGCGACAAACAACACGAGCGATAGTATTGTCTAGGTATACCATATGATATATTATAAAAACATTGCATTCTACGTAATCTCGTGACATTCGCCGAATAGATTTTACAGTACACTCAACTTACCCGACACGAACGCATAACTTTTTATTTTGACGTATTTACGTAATACACATACCAACTGAGATGGGTACGGCATGATATAAGTAAAAGTAAATCTGCTTGAATATATATATATATACACACACACACTTGTAGATATCGACAAATTTAAGGAAATAATGAGTTTGTCTAAAAAAAGAAAATAATTTTTAAGAAACCTCCGAGGTATTCGGGAATATTGACACAGAGCACACTTGAAAATGTTGGAGGAGCGCTATTGATTCTTTCAATGAAAAAGCAAAATTCAAGACTTGAACGATTAACTAAGTATTATACACGCGAATGAATAGGCAATCTCAATAACGCCCATCAAGAATTTTTCAATGTCAGCAGTTAGCTGTAGTAAAAATTGTTTCTATTTATTTTTAGCGCGAGAGAAATCGACAATGAGCAACGACTGGGACATCACCCGTGTTTCATGCCAAGAACGCCTCACGGACCCTCGAACGATTTAGTCAAGCGCAAATACGAGTAAACTACGAAATAATACGATCGACTGCGGCTGTTACAAAAATTGCAAATGACCTATGGTCCACAGAAACCGTTCACAGAAATCACGATGAACTTTGATTTAAAAAACACAACTGCATCTTCTGTGCTAAGGATGCTTCTTAAAATTTTCTGGATGTTGAGAAAATCTCCTTGACAACGAGCAAAGAAAACTTTCTGCGCTTCCTCGAGAGACACGAGAATACTCTGTGAGTCAGCGAAATACGGAAATAAGACAAATCCGAAATGTTCGAAATTTCTGAATCGTATCCTCATCCATCGATGATTTACTAGCAGCTGAGACCCGTTATCGTTCAGATTATGTCGAACCTTTTGATAAGAAAAGAGAGGACATTATAAAATGACGATGACTAAATGTAAACTTGACTCATGCGCTGGTGATGTATCGATTCGCTCGGTCTAGCGCGATGAATACTTAAAATAAGATTTTTCAAATGTAACGTGGATTTTTGTATGCTCTTCTGTACACATACGTTGCTTTGTATTGAGGTCATAATATAAATTTGATGCGCACTGCCTGCTCACGCGCGTAAAGTGGTAGCATTTGTATTCAAAGCCGCAATTTCGCGTCAGCAACACCTTTCGTGAAATTGTAGCGCGGCATAGCGAATAAGTATAGTTTGCGTTAATATTTGATAAACCTCTAATCATTCGGTAAGAAACTACTCGCGAATGGAAAATTGTCGAATGCTTATCTCGCAATCGAGCTGCCGGTTAGACAATACATCCGCGTGCGTGACTCGAAGACATTGTGCCGTTGCACTCAAAAACCTTTTCCACTCTAAACAATGCGCGCCGCTACTGATGGTCTCGCAAAAGCCTTGGCAGTGTTCGAAGCCATTGCTGTGACTTTGCGAGCTAACCAAGTTCGTTACGTCGAAAAAGTTGTCGAGCCAAGAGCAAAAGCGCCGAGCCGCTGGCCCGCGCGAGTGTCCAACTTGATTTTCATCGGCGAAAAGCGGCGTCGTGTGCAAATTGAGCTCGCCGAGTTTTACGCGCGTGTAATAAGAGGCTAGACACAAAGGCCTTTGCAAAGTGTATTCGCGCGAGCGGCACCGACGAGGAGACAAAAAGGCCACGAGTTGGCCTAGACCGGTCGCATTTTCACCGCTACAGCGGCGAGCGTCTGCGCAAGGAAAGGTGTCTGGCAGCGGTGTCGATAAAGAAGGGGGGGCTGCAGATAGTTTTCTCTCTCTCTCTCTCTCTCCAAGTTTCAAAAGCTGGAGCATCGAGCGACGCGCGCGCGTTGCCCTGACCATTGCGAAGCGTGCAAAATCTACCACTTAAAATCAATCTGGGTCAACTAGCGATTTTGCACTTGAATTGCGTATCCGTTTTGCGTTGCATACTCGCGAGCGCGCGCTGACTGGCTTTTGATCTGCCTTCGAGATCAATTTTTTTCAAACGTCAAGTGTCGCTTTTACTTCGTATATCTTCGCCGTATCTTGTCGAGTATGCTAATTTCAACGGGAAAATGATTTTCAAGCAAACTCGACCATCTCGAGAAAGTTCCCCCTTTACACGTGTAATCACAGCTCAGGCCTGCACCAAGCTAAATCGTGTCGTTATTCAAAAATAATTTTTCATTCCTCTACTTTCGTCGACAATTGTTTCATCTTTGAAAGCCGGCATCGATATGAAATGTTAATAATAGACTCTTTTCAAGAAAGTTATTTGATCATTTTTCGCGGCGCTGAATAAAATTTTCTTTCTTCATTTTCACGAAAGCTTTACTCTAGCCGCCTATGAAAACTTTTCAAATAAACTTTTATACACCATAAAGTTTAATGCGAAAAAGAGAGAAAAAAGCGTTAAAAGTCCTTTCAAAATGTACATACCCATCAGAAGTGATTTGAAAATCTGACGAACGCACACTGTAGCTTGAATATTTATCACGCCACGAGGAACTGAGACTTTCTCTAATAACTGTTGACAAAAAAAAAAATGAAAATGCTAAAACTGAAAGGGCAAAATAGCGTTGAATGCTAGTATCAATCGCGTTGAAATTGATTGGCTTTCCGTCGCGCGAACACGGCAACAAATGCACGACTCAGTCGGGCTTTGGAGAATCGTAAAATTACGCGATTCCCGAATGAATATTCATGGTGGGAAACTCTGTAACCAGAAGCACTTCGCAACTGAATAAATCACGTGTTTGCGATACCAAATCAAATATTTTATATTTTTTTGGCTCTCGCGATGAGCAATCGCGCAAACCTATCGGGCATTCATCGCGTCTTTGTCAAAGCACTCGAAATAGCCGCTACCGAAGCACTCGAAAAGCTGATACGTGCAAGAAAGTGAAAGGAGGCGAGAGAAAAGCCTCGTCATTCCCGCGCACGAAAAAAACTCTTCGTCGTCGGCGAACAAATCGATACGATAGCCCTCGCGCGCGTCAATTCGAGAGGGTCTCTCTCTCTCTCTAATCGCAGTCCAAACAGATCAATCGGTTTTTAACCCAGTTGCCTGACACGCTGCACGAAAGAGCTTCCGTCGATAAAGTCATGCTTGCCGCGACCGCCAAAGGAAAACGGACCCAGCCGCGGCAATGTGTGGCGGCGCGGATTCCTCGAGGAAAAAGTGTCGGCGGTGCGCGGCCGCGACAGTCACGAAGTGATCGCCTTCCGTGCACGATCTCTCTCGCCGACACCGCGCGCGTACGAGCGGACAACGAAAATCGCGCGCGCTCGAGACTGAACGGCGCCCGCGATTTCACCACGCTCTTGCGCATAAAATATCGCGAAGTGATTGCCACGAGAAACAAAGAGCAAAAAAAGGCACGCGGATCGGAGAGCGAGGATTGGTATAAGCCAGTAATGCCTCGCGCGGATCACGCGCGTAATACTCGTTGAAAAAGCCTAACTTTTCGTCGTTTCCCCTCCGGCAAGCTCGCTG